CAGTGGAGAAGAATCACTTAATTGCCAGAAGAAATAAAGTCTTAGTATAAGATTTGAAGGGTGATTTGGAGTTTAAGAAGGAATTACTTTCTAGAGACAGTGATGTGGGTAAACCCAGTGTTCATAGGGTAAGAAAGTGTGGAATAGCGTGGCTTGCTCTCAGGATTGGAAGAGCTTTCCTGTGGCTGTAGTAGAAGCTTTCACTCTATTTCTCATTTGACATGCCTGAGGGTGGGTGGAATATACTTCTAATAGTAATAGTCGTCAACTCTAGCGGTTATTTCAATGAAAGGCCATGCCCTTATGAATAATAGATCTGAATCTCCAGAAGGGTGCATTTTATTTGGGGAAAGTCCTCCAGGTGGTTCCAACAGGACTTTTTTTCTGTTCCCCACTGGTGACAGCTAGCTTTAAGTAAATGAGGTGTAGTGAGAGGTGGAGCATAAGGAGAGACAAACCAGATTATAAAGTACTTTGTACAAAATTAAGCAGCTGAGATTCTGTCTTACAAGATACATGGAGCTGCTGAAAGGCTTTTAGCAGAGAAAATCACAATCAGATTTAAAATTTAGAAAATTTACATCCATGTTCCTCAGACTTGGGGAATTAATTAGAGAGGGTCAAGTCTTCAGGCAGCAAATTTAAATAGACTTTTGTAGTAGTCCAGGTTAAACATGCTTTATGCCTCTTATAACAATGAAAGGAAAGAAGACAGAGTCACGTGATTTTGGTAGAATAAATATGTGGTGTCTGGATGTGGGGAAGAAGGAAGAGTTGAAGAAGATTCTTAGATTGGTTATGTAGACAGACTGGTGAATGATGGTATCCTTCACAAGGATCGTTGATGCTGGGGCCCAGGTTTAGGGATAGGCATAATTGATTCAGCTTGACAATAGACAGCCGTCTTCAGAACTCTGGTTATTGGATTCTGTATAAAATTATTACCCCAGTACATGTTATACCCAGAGTTGTCCTTTCAAAAGATAAATCAGATATGTTCACTCTTGTGCAAAACACTCCAGTGGCTTTCTAGCAATTTTAGAACAAAACCCAGAGTCCCTACTGTGATTCTGCAAGTTCGTACATGATTTCCCCCTGGCTACCTTCTGATCTGATCTTCTGAAACAGTTTCTCTCGTTACACTCTAGCCATATTGGCTTCTCTGCTATCCCTTGAACTTACCAGGTACGCTTTTACCTCACGGCCTTTGCATTTACTGTCTCTGCCTAAGTAGCTCTTCTCCCAAGTGCTTTCCTGGCTTTCTCTCTCACTTTATTACAGTTTCTGCTCAAATGCTGCCATTTCAGCGAGCCCTTCATTACTGTCCTATGTAAAATAGCAACCCTGTGTCTCCTTATCCCTTTCACTGCATTACCACTACCTGCAATAGTGATTCACACAGTTGATTTCTGTATCATGTATTTCAACATTAGAATGTGAATTTCATGGCTCTTATATAGTACCATTGATTTTCAGAATAATCTCCGAGGGCTTGATAAAATATGTTGAAGAAATGTTTTCCTGTTCATATATTCAGTTGACAAACCAAGCTATTATTAAAATCTGAGGTTCTTTTTAGCACTTTTTTTCCCTTTCTTTAAGTGCTCCCAAGACTTTTCATTCTTTCTCCTCATTTGAAAGTACCTGACCATCTATCCAGGCTTTCCTGTCCGCAGTCTTCCAAACTTGGCATGTTCCAATCTATATTAACAGAAAACCGTTTTGGATTCCTTCAGCTAAAATTGATCCCATCTTCCTTTGAATTTTTCTTTGACTACTTTTAACATTCTGGTATATATAATAATTATCTGTATCTCTTCAAACCATAAATTTTATAGTGTAGCATTCTAACTGATTAATCTTTGTATTTTTACCCAGAGGTGACAACATATAATTCATGTGAAGTAAGCCATAAATGTGTAATGGAAAAATAAAGATAATGATTAATTGATTGATTTCCAAAAGCTGTGTGTATAGAGTAGTTTATTTGTTATAATATCCCACTATGACTTGTAAAACAAAGTTATTTTTATGAAGCAAAAACATTTTATAATTTAAAAATATAAAATTTATTTTTATTTATAATTGTAAAATATTGTACATTTGAAATATAAGTATTAGGCATTATAGGATGCTAATTACTAATAGTTACCCACTTTATCTAGTCTGTTGGTTGAACCATATGAAATTGTTTTTTAGCTCAAAATCAGACTGATCCTGGCATTTTCATATGGTTCAACCTATATATGTAAAAATCTTCCAAAATCTTATCGTAAAGCCGGCATTTTTCTAATGTATAAACCTGTTCATATACTTTGGATCTACCTTCTCTCTTGCCTTGTACATATTAGGTGCTCAATAAAAAAAATCCATTGAATACCTGAAAGCATAAAACTGACAATGAAACTTTATTTTGTGTTGGAAAACGTAAGACTGACATGCAGTAAGTGTAAATTACCTGTGGTAGGTAATACCCAGTGTCAGTTGTAAAGCCTTTAACATATGTGCATATCTTCCAGAAATCTGTGTGAGAAAAGTCACTTACTTTTTAAAATGAAATACTAATACTTTTCCTTGCATGTTGAATTGAAATTGTTAAGAAAGGTACTTCTAAAGAAGTAAATGACAGTACTGTCTTTTCACATAGTGATAAAATAATAAAAGGAGTGGCTTAATTGAAGAGCGTTGTATTATGCATAGACCTTACTTAATCTTTATACTTTTACATTAGAATTTCATTGAAATAGGTAATTAATCATTATTTTTATTCCTCTAAAAGAACATTTTAATGCCAATCATGTTAATGCCAAGTTAAATTTTAGCTTTAACTAATGCTTACAAAAGCTCTACTTTAAAAAGCAGTGTCCCTATTTACATAATGTCTTCAAGAAACCTATTTGTCCCATTAAATTAGGAGTTTCGAAATACTAATTTTTTCTCTTATTCTGCTCTGATGTCAAAGAAATAGAAAAGTTAATTCAAATCTTCAGTTTGTCTGATGTTCCTAATACTGGATAGGAGAAGGAATTAAAGAGAAAGGCATTTTCATTTTAAATGTGGGAGGGAAAGAGGTATATTCCCTAAAAGCTTATATAGTGAGTCATAGACAAACACCAAATTCAAGTTAGTATCCTTAGTGGTGAAGAATAGTTTTTTAAAAAATACAGTATGTGTGTTTATGTGTGTATGTACTTAATGTTGTAAATAGATATTTAAAGGACTTAGTAAGCTATGGAAGCCCAACTCCTTGTTGTGAAATCTGAATATTTTACTTAATATTAAGAACAAAATCTGACTAGAAACGAATGACTGACTTTGGGAGCAAGAGAGAAATGAAAGAAAAATTCAGCCTTCTTCCACTGTATATTAACCTAGTTTGATGTTTAATGGAATATATTTCAGCTCACTTCCTTTTTTTCCTTATGTAACAGCAACATTGCCTCTTCCGTCACACGTACCTCCATTCTCCCCCTTACTTGTGGTGTACTGTGTGTGTGTGTGATTTGTTGAAATGATGCTGCACAGCTGATGCTTGTCTCTTAGCGTCTAGTTTTGAATCTCATGGAGAATATAGGTTGATTGTATGGTATTTTATTTCTAAATTTATTCTGACTGCCTCAGTGATAAAAGTAGAAATGCTTAAATAATATGTAAAAATCGGTCTTTCTTGTGAAAAAGTATTTCCTAACTTACTGCTTAGTTTTATTTGTCACTTCCTTTTTTGTGGATTGAAGCCTACTAGACTTTGACAACTAATATAACTAAGTAGGAGATAGCATTAACTTCTGCTACTTGTCTCATAAAACTTTTGAAAAAAAATCCTGTATTCGTTTTCTGTGGCTGCTGTCACAAATTACCACGGACTTAGTGGCTTAAAACAGCATAAATTTATTATTACAGTTTTATAATTGAGAAGTCTGAAATGGATCTCATACGCTGAAGGTTGTTGGAGAAAATTCATTTCCTTGCTCTTTCTGGTTTCTTGAGGTTACCTGTATTCCTTGGCTCATTTCTTCCTACATCTCCAGTTCTTCTCATGTGACTCCTCTTCTGCCTTCCTCTTCTGCTTTGAAGGACCCTAGTGATTACATTGGGCCCACCTGGATAGTCCAGGACTCTCAATGTAAAGGCTGGGTGATTAATAACCTTAATTCTACCTGCTGTCTTAATTCCCCTTTGACATGTAAGGTGACATATTCACAAGGTTCTGGGGGTTGGGGCATGAACGTCTTTGGTGGATAATTATTTTGCCTACCACAATCCCTAAAACGGTAAGTTTTTTGTAATTCAGTGTAACTGGAACTAAACTGGGAGGTATGACGGTAACATTGTTTCACTCAATTCAGGGTCTTTCTTGAAATCTTAAAACATGACAGTTTATTCACTGTAAGATACTCCATAGCTTTTTTGAGGTCTCATTTTTTGACATTCAAATTTGTAGGGACCTTTCTCATAATTACTAGTGTTGACAAATGCTGTTTCCTGTTTCCTTTATCATAAATTTAAGGGAGCACAAATACTATCTATGATTAGCTATTTTATAAACGTTCCTATATACGTGAAGCTTCATGAAAATTTAGCTGTAATATAAGCAGGAAGGAAGAGATTTTCTGAAACTTTAAGGCTTAGTCTCTGAGCCATCCATCACATACAGTGCTTCTGAGTATGAGAATTACTGACTGTGATATAGGAAAATTCTTTATATTTTGTATAAATCAAAGAAAGAGAAAACTACGAAGGTGAATTTGGATGTTTTTTAAACAGTAACTTAAATAATAGCAGAGAAACTTGCTTTCTCTTGAATTAACTAATGGAGTTATTTTTCTTATTTATCACTCTATCCCTTTGATGGCTTTTTAAAACAAATGTATCTACCAGTATATATATTTTAACATATATTATAGTGCTCACAGTGTTCTTTTGACCCTTGTTTTTCACTTGCTAATATCATTTGATCTTATTTAGAAGTTATAAAAATGTTTTATTTCTCTCTTTATCTGCTTACCTTTTCAAACTTACTTTTAATAGGATCGGAAACTCCATGGCACAGCTCAGCAACTGCTCCAGGACAGCAAGACAAAAATAGAAGTGATACGAATGCAGATTCTTCAAGCAGTCCAGACCAATGAATTGGCTTTTGATAATGGTGATGGAACAGAGATAAATTGTCATTCTTATTGTTATGGGCCTATGGTACTAAATAAATTTTATGTAGGAAAGAAGCAACGGTTCAAAATTAAGAGGGAAGCAGCATCATGGGTTTTTATCTTGAGTTTTATCTTTGAGTTTCGATGGCTAAAATGAAAGGCTCTGTATTTCAATATTGTGTTTACTAGGTATTACTTCAGTGTTTATTGACTTTTTAGGACTAACTTCTAATGTTGTCAGAATTCATTTCTTTTTCTTGAGTTTTAATCACTACATATTAGACAGTCAAATAAATGGTTCAATTAAGTTTTGTTTTGTTTTTTTTTTCCCTTCTCTAGCCAAACCTGTCATAAGTCCTCTTGAACTACGGATGGAAGAATTAAGACATCATTTTAGGATAGAGTTTGCAGTAGCAGAAGGTGCAAAGAATGTAATGAAATTACTTGGCTCAGGAAAAGTAACAGACAGAAAAGCACTTTCAGAAGTAATTTCAAATAAAAATTTTAACTTAATAAATACATTTTTCAAAGAATATTATTATTTAAATGACAACATTGTCTTTTCCCTGTTCAAGGCTCAAGCAAGATTTAATGAATCAAGTCAGAAGTTGGATCTTCTGAAGTATTCGCTAGAGCAAAGATTAAATGAACTTCCCAAGAACCATCCCAAAAGCAGTGTTGTCATTGAGGAGCTGTCACTTGTTACGTCACCAACACTGAGTCCACGCCAAAGTATGATATCTGCACAGAGCCAGTATAGCACGCTGTCCAAACCAGCAGCCCTGACAGGTACGTGGCATGTCTCTTCCTGATTGGTGTGTGTGTGTGTGTGTGTGTGCATTTTTTATCAACATCTGTTTCTGGTTAATAAATGAATAAAAATGTGGAAACAGATTTTTTAAATATTGTGGTAAGATACACATAGCAAAATATATTAATTTTACCATTGTAAAGTACGCAATTCAAAGGCATTTAGTATATCCATGCTGTTGTATAGCTATCACCACTTTCTAGTTCCAAAGTATTTTCATCACACCAGAGGGAAACTGAGTCGCCATTAAGTAGTCGTTCCCCAAGCCCCCTTTCCCCTCGACCCCTGGCAGCCACTATTAACTTTCTGTCTCTATAGATTTGTCTGTTATAGATGTTTCCTATAAATAAGATTATGTAATTTGTGGCCTTCTATGTACTGGCCTCTTAGTGTACTTTTTCAAGGCTCATTCTTGTAGCATGTGTCAATACCTCATTCCTTTTTGTGGCTAAATAATACTCTGTTGTACAAGTATATATCAGATTTTATTTATCCATTCTTGATTTGGATTGTCTCCACCTTTGGACTGTTGTGAATAGTGTTTCTATGAATATTTGTGTGCAGTTTTTTATTTGAACACCTGTTTTCAGTGGTGTTGAGAATATACCTAGACATATAATTACTAGGTCATGTGGTAATTTTATGTTTCTATTTTTGAGGGGCCATCAAATTGTTTTCCATAGCAGCTGCATCATTTTACATTTCCAGCAGCAAAGCATGAGGGTTCTAGTTTCTCCACATCTTCATCAACACTTGTTATTTTCCTTTTTTTTTATTATTGCCATCCTGGTGGGTCCATTATTGAAAGTGGGATAGTGATGTCTCCAGCTATCTTTGTAAACTTACTTTCTTTTTCTTTCAATTATGTAAACTTTTGCTTTATATTTTTAGACCCTGTTTATAAGTGCATATATGTTTACAATTTTTTTTATCTTCTTAATGGATTGACTCTCATCAAAATATAATATCCTTTATCTCTTATAATAATTTTGGGCTTAAAGTATTTTGCCTGATATTAGTATGGACACCCCAGCTCTCTTTTGATTACTGTTTGCATTGAATATCTTTTTCTATTCTTTTGCTTCCAATCTGTTTCTGTCCTTGGATCTAAAATGAGTCTCTTTTAGACAACATATAATTGGATCATGGTTTTGGTTTATTTATTTATTTCTTAACATTCTGAAAAATCTCTGCCTTTAACTTGAACATCTTAATCTATATATGTTTAAGGTAATTACTGATAAGGTGCAGTGCAATTCTGATGCTGACTACCTGGAGTTAGGTTAAATTTTACAGGTTAATGGCACAGGCTCCCCCAGGACTGCCCTCATATCAGACACAAGCTGGAAGCTTGGAGTTTCCCCAACCACCCACATTTCTGACCAACTGTCTGTAAATTCAGGGGTTCCCATACCACCTCAGGTTCAGTAATTCCACAGAACAACTTACAGAACTCAGGAAAGCTCTATATTAACTATTACAGTTTTATTATAAAAGATACAAATTAAGACCAATCAGAAGAAGAAATGCATAGGGAGTGATCTGGCAGGGTCCCAAATATAAAATTTCCTTGTTCTCAGCATGCATCACCCTCTCAGCGTATTAAATTCTGTGACCAACTGGGAATCTCTCTTTAGCTGTGAGTATTCAGAGATTTTATTGTGTCTTCATTATGTAGGATTGATTGAAATCAGTCTCCAGACCTCCCACCCGTTTCTGAAGGATAGAGGATTAGGCTGGTATGTGGCTCAAAGCACTAGCTCTCTAACCACACGGTTGGTCATCCTGGTATATAGCCTGTCCCTATCCTGGAACTGTGTACAGATCTACCATGAGTCCCTTTGGTAGCATAAATTCACATGTGGTCTCAGGAGCCTACCATGAATAACAAAGATACTGCTATCAGTGGGGAAACTATAAGGGTTTAGAAGCTCCCTCCTAGGAACCAGGGACAAAAATGAATCAAATTCATTATTATACAACAAAAAGACTTACTTGTACATTTTGCTGTTTGTTTTCTGTAAATTTTAATCTTTTTATCTTGAATTCTTTCACTTTCTTTTGTGTTAGATTAAATTTTCCTAATTTACTCTTGATTCTCTCATTGTTTCCTTTTCTGTATACTTAAAAATTATTTTCTTAGTAGTTACCTTGGTGATTACAATTTAATCCTAAATTTATAACAATCTTGTTTGAATTGATACCAACTTCTCTTCAATAGCCTACAAAAATTATGCTCCTATACAGCTGTTGTCATAGATTATTTCTTTACTCAACATGTGCTCATTAGCAGATTATATTATATATTAGATTATACTTTTATGCATTTGCATGTTAAGTCATAAAGGAAACAAAAAGTTGCAAACCAAAAATATAGTAATACTGTCTTTTTAATTTACCTATGTAGTTAGTTTTACTGCCTTATTTTTTCTATTATTTCAAGTTACTGTCTAGTGTCCTTTTGTTTCAATCTGAATGACTTCTTTTAGCACTTCTTCTAGAAAGTTCTGCTAGTGATAAACTCCCTTAACTTCTGTTCATTTCGGACTCTCTTATTTTCTTCATTTTTGAAGGATAGTTTTGCATGTATAGAACTCTTGGTTGACAGGCTTTTTTCTTTCAGCATTTTAAAAAAATCATCCCAGTCCCTCCTGGCCTTTATGCTTTCTGATGAAGAATCCACTTTTAATCTCATTGAGGTTTTTTTCTAAGTGATGAGTTGCTTCTCTCTTGGCTGCTTTCAAGATTCCCCTTTTTGTCTTTGATTTTTCAGTTTGATTATAATGCGTATCAGAATGCTAATGTCTTTTGAGTTTATTCCATTCAGATTCTTTGAACTTCTTGATGTGTAGATTCATGTCATTCATCAAATTTGGGAAGTTTTCTGTCATCATTTCTTCACATACTATTTCTGACATTTTTCTCACCTTCTGAGACTCCTGTGTTTATATTCTTAACAGTATACCAGAAATCACTTAGTCTCCTTTTTTTTTTCTTGAGAACAACAAGTGTTTATTGATGTAGAATCATTTTGGGGGCCCAGAGACACCTATGTAAACACAAAAAC